TAATTTAGACACACCCTTAAGGTCCATCTACACTGCACCATAGGTCAAAATAAGATACACAAATTGTGTAGCTCAAATTGCATATCTTATTTTGAAATATGAAAATAGTTTATTTTGAAAATTGTCACTATCTACACAGCACTTATTTTGAAATAAATCACTATTCCGAAGCATCCTTACTCCTTGTGGATTGAAGTTTACAGGGACATCAGAAGAGCGAGCCCGTTATAGTTAGAAATAACGGTGCGCTCAAAAGATGAGGAATAGCTATTTCGGGATACTTCTGGTATCCTGAAATAGCACTGCAGTACAGACGTTGCCTTAGCATCTACTCTGCACCTGTACTTTGAAGTAAGCAATGCAATTTGAGCTACACAAATTGCATAGCTTATATCACGTGTGTTTCGAAATTTGGCACTGTCTACACAGCACCATATTTCGAAATAGCACGCTATTCCAAAATATTCCTTAATCCTCATGGAACAAGGTTTACTGGAATGTGAGAACAGCATCCCTGTTATTTAAAAAGCTATTTCAAAATAATGGGTGCGCTGTCAAGAAGCGGAAAACGCTATTTCAAGATACTGGAAGTATCCTGAAATAGTGCTGCTGCCAAGATAGATGCACCCTAATTGAGTGCACAAGATAGCAAGGATATGCATCTGATGAAGCGGGTCTTTGCCCATGAAAGCTTATGCTCCAACACTTCAGTTAGTCTATAAGGTGCCACAGGACTCCTCACCGCTTTTTCAAGGATATGAAGGCTCATTTATGATTGTCTGAAATACCTTATCTTTGTATTTCAATATTTTCTAGTTATTTTGTAAGTTTTTAAAACCATAAATAAAGCTTAGAATTCTCTGGGCTTTAGGATACAGTTTAAGGTACAATGTTCTATTAAATTACATTCTCTCTTGGACACACACACATGCACGCTTAAAAGGATGAGGTATTTTTGTAAAAAAAAATCAAAGGATTCTGTGCTAATTTATAAGTTTCAGAGGGTTAACTGAGTTATGAGAGAATATTGTATGGATGACCCTGTATTTTAAACCAAGGGATATTTTTAAAACTGAGTGAAAGGTTATTGTTGTCGGGTGAATTTGAATACACATTTGTTTATGAATTTTAACAGAACAGTGTTTTGTTTAAAGCAGGCAAAAAGTAGCCTTGGGAAAAAGTCCAAGGTTTTTCCAGAGTAAATTTTCTTTCTTGTTTTTGTTAATGACCTAATGTCACTAAGGATGTTTGTGTTTTTTGTTTTAAATGTCTTGCCACATATTATATTTCCCTGGATCATATTTCCTCACACTTCCGTATATTTAAAAAAAATATTATGACATACAGATTAAAGCTGAAGAAAATGATGTTTTAAGTGAAGTATTACAGTTCAACGAACTGTGAAAATCTCTTCCCAAGAAATGTTTAGTCTGTGGGTTCATACATAACCATTCTTATTTAAGAATGTAATTTTAAATTCTTTTCTTTCCTGTGTCACAAGCAGCTGTAAACAAAAAGTTTACAGATTAAGAAAATTTATTTTTTTATTAACTGCTATTACGGAAGATACGCTCATATTCAAACATACTAATGTATTGTCATGCTCTAACCTGTAGCACAGCAACTGACCAGCACTGAGTCTCATTTTCCAAATGACCTTCTTAAATTGCTAATTTTTTTTCATCCATTATAGGCTAGTAAGCACTAAAAATCAACAGATTTGAACTTTCTATTATAGTGGCTTTCAAACTTTTCTTCTCATGATGCAGTTGAAGAAAATTGTCAATGCCCATGACCTAACATATTTTGACTAGAGTGTGGGTTTCAGGGTGGGGCTGAGGATGAGACTTTTGGGCTGTAGGAGGGAGCTCCAGCTTGGGGGGAGAGGTCATGGCTGGGGCAGGAGGGGCTTACCTTGAGCAGCTCCCGGTCAGGGGTGCAGTGGGGGTGCTAAGGCAGTCTTCCTGCCTCTCCTGGCACCGCAGATTGTGCTGCATCCCAGAAGCAGTCAGCAGCAGGTTCCCAGACAATGCAAGAGTCCTGTGTGCTCTTCTCCTCCTCACCTAGGAGTCAGGCCTGTTGCCAGCTGCTTCTGGGGCACAGCGCAGTCTGTGGTGCTAGGACAGGCAGGTACCTTTCTTAATCACCTGATCATTCCGCAGTAATGAGACCCAGTGCTTGATACTCCACGATCTAGTTGTGACCAATAGTTTGAAAACCACTGTTCTACTAGATATCAGTAAAGTCTTGTTTTGTCCAATATCCAACATTCAACTGTTATTTTGAGCTATAATCCTGAAATGTGATCTATTCATTGAGGAAAATGTGAAATTAAACATTTCTATTGTGGATCACCCACTGGGCAGTCTAACAATTCACAGAAACTATGTTAATTTCTTCTATGAAGAGTCATGTTACTCGGGAATGAGGTCTCCAACTTGGCAAAATCAAAGTAACCTGGGATCATACCAGATCTCTTTAGGTCCAGGAAGCCACCAGGTAAATTGGTAAGGTGATGGGAGTTCAAATGGCAGCAATATGCAAATGACCTACAGCTCTACCAACCTTTCACAACATGTGACAATACTACCATGATAACCCAAAATCTGGACAAGATCAACTTAGGGAAGAGGAACAACTGACTGAAGCTGAACCCAAGCAAGGGAGAAGCACTAGCAGCACTTGTACTGATGGGCAGAAGAAAGTAGTTTCAGGAGTCTACAACCAGAGTGCAGTCTTCTTCAGTTGAAGATGCGAGTGCACACACAGCTAAAACATTCGGTCCGTAGCTGAGGAATGCTCCTGGATTCCTGGTCGATGCTGAGCTCTCACACTACAGCATTTGCAATAACGCACTTTCTCCACATCTCCTCATCAACACAGGCCACTTTGATCACATCTGACCTGGTCCTGCATTTTTTTTATACTGGTTTCCCACAGAATATCTAATCAGTTGCAAGGGCCTGGGCCTTATCTTCAAAGTCCTTAATGGCTTTGGGCCAGCATATCTAATATATTCCCTAAAGCTCCAGAATCAAAACAATGGTAGACAGTGGAACCCTTTGACTCAGAGAAACCTTCAACCATAAGGTTAAAGTTAAGCTCTGACTTCTTCAGAAATTATAAGGGGCCAATCTGAGACTAGTTTCTGTGAGTTTGCCAAAGACCATGACACCCCTTTGTATCTTCTGCTCCAAGTGCAAGGTAATTTATTATTATTTTTTTTTTATCTGGTCATCTGACATATACAAAGCAGGGTTTAATTTTTAAACAAAACTGCATCAAAGAACAAAACCCTGCCCTACACACAATTTTTCCTCTCAGAGAATCATGTGCGACAGATAGCAGTCACATTGCTTAATGCTACTGGAACACTCTCAGATACCATGCAGATGAGTACAGTTTAAGAACCTACATCAAATAGAACAATCAGTTGCATTAGTTTTAGATTATTGAAAATGAACTAGTATGCCCCAAGTGCCGATATCAATATCAAATCCAGCTCAAGAACATTGTCTTGATGGGCAAAAGGGATGCATTTATCAGTCATGTTAGCTCTAGAATGTTAGCTTAAAATGACTGAAAAGCACCACAAAGGTGCAAACTAACATGGGCTTAAACTGCAGCAAGGGAGGTTTAGGTTGGACATTAGGAAAATGTTCCTAACTGTCAAGGTAGTCAAACACTGGAATAAATTGCCCAGGGAGGTTGTGGAATTCCCATCTCTGGAGATATTTAAGAGTAGGTTAGATACTGTCTAGACCATCCCTGATAGACATTTATTTGATCCTGTCATGGGGGCAGGGGACTGGACTCTATGACCTCTCGAGGTCCCTTCCAGTCCTAGTATTCTATGATTCTATGTTTCAATGTATGTTAGCTGTCTGTGTTGTATCCTGGTGGTGGAAGGTACTAAAGTTGCAGAATGGTAACATATTGCAGAGAAAAGGAACTCAACTTTTGTTTTAACAATCTCAGTTTGTTGGAGACATTTATATAGTTTCTATTTTATATTTTTTGTTACTAGTTGAACCAAAAAGTTTAAGCATTATATATAACAACTTTTATATACAAAATATTGAAGATTTAATGTGTGATATGTAGGAATTAAAAGGTCCAGTCTCTGATATAACTAGTATATTATTCTTAAATGACTCAAAACTATATTAAATTATCACTAAAATACAGCCACTTCTTAGAAGGGAGGGAATGGAATTCAGCCAGTTAGCTAGCACATAGCATGCTTCATGACAGTGTAGAGGGAGGAAATGAAAGAATTTAAATCAAGGTCACCAGAAAAACTGTTACTTTTTTTTTTTTGCAAGAGTACCATGCAGAAACTCTGATTCTGAGGGTTCCATACATGTGGTAGGATACAATTTCCTGAAGTTTCTTTATTATTCCAAAGGACTGAATAAATATTTAACAAGAGATAATTCTATATCCATATAGTTAAAAGGCAGAAGGGACAATTCTATTATCCTATTTGATCTCCTGTATATCACAGGCCATTAAATTTCACACAGTTACCCATGTGTTGAGACCAGTACCTTATCTATGACTTAAGTGTAATGCCCAGAAAGGCATCCAGTCTTGATTTGAAGACACCAGTGGATGGAGAATCCATCATTTCTCTTGATAGCTTGTTCTGCTTGTTAACCACCCTCATTGTTAAAAATGCATGCCTAATCTATTATTTTTCCCTTCGATTCAGGTTATCATGATACATCTGTTGTCATGGTATCTGTGCACACTTTCCAGAGATGCATTAAGTAACATTACTGGCATCTTTCATTTATGGTGCTTTCCTTATTCCTGTTCTCTCCTGGACGAAAATCTTGTGTGGATTTAAACCTCTCATTTTAATTAGCAAATTACTTTTTCTCATCTTATTTAGGATCAAATGTATGCCCCTGTTTCTCCCAATTTCAAGTCTGCTGCTCTGCTGATAAGTCTTATCTTAGCAAGATTCTGACTCGGTTATTTGAAATGCACATTACCTGATAGTTTTCCACACATCAAAGCCGTCCAGAGGTTTAGTGCTGTTTACAGATCCCCCAACAAGTTTTACTAGAGTTGGTAGCCAGTCAGAGATGTGGATCAGTTCGTGACTTTCTACTCCCTTTTGTTTCAGTAAAGGACTTGCAACAAATCCTACTCCACGCACTCCTCCTTCCCAGAGTGTCCACTTTCTTCCTCTCAGAGGCCAGTTATTTCCACCGCCCAAAGTCTGTCCTCCATTATCTGAAATACAGGTAAGCAAAAGAAATGATTTCATGCGTTCATTTTAAATAAATTTACATAACACAGGAATGATATCACAACTGTTGTATAATGTTAAACTCTAATAGCATCAATTACATACAATAATACATCATATTTATCTGATGCTTTGCATCTTTAAAGTAATTACAAATATTAGCCAAAACTGTCACAATCTTAAAGGTAACGTACTATATTTAAATGTGAACAAGACAAATTGCAGCAAGAGAGCAAAAAGAGTGAATATTACTTTGAGGTGCAAGAAAGCATCCCAGCATTTATAAGAGTAACTGATGAGTTTCCATTATTAGTAAATGTACAACTTTATATAACTAAACTTGACCTACAAGGAAATGTACTTATGTCATTGTCTTTATACTGTTTTCAGGGCATATGTGTTGGATGAATCAGAACTATTTTTAAAAGTTTTAAATATACACAAAGCAAAACTGTATTTTTCTGCACAAGCCTTTTAATCTGTTGCCTGCTTTAGTTTTTAACACATTATCTGTTTTAATTAAAAACCACAAATGTTAACAATTGTGGGAGCAAGGAAACAAGAAGGTGCTGCATCTGATAAATCAGAGAAGACAGCTTTTTACTGTCCTCGCAATGAAGCCAAATGTTTTCATTCTTATTTAAC